GGGGGAGGCGATTGCCCCAGCGCCTAGCCACGGATTTAGGGACTAAACACTGAGATTAGACAATAATTTTCTATGCACTGTATCAGGGTAGAGAATTAAATATGCTCCTACTTGGCACAATACATATTATGAACATTTATCTCATCTCATTTTACCATAGCCTCGTTGTAGTGGGAAGGATACTTTTTCACATAAGAATATCTGTTACATAAACATAGTTAAGAGATTAGTATTTATTATTTTAAATTTTGCATATTTGATTTGATAATAATTTAAAATTTTAATTTTGATTACATCTCAACAATTAAAATTAGTGATAGTGATTTCAATTGACTTTCTCTGAATTTCCTAGCAAATTTGTCATTTCCAATTTAAACCTTCCCCGTAGGATCGATATTTGGAGCTTAAATAGAAAGTTTGTTGTGATATATGTACTTCCTCGCATAGAAATGAAACTCAAAGAACACAAACAAACACATATATTTTACGTGGTTCGATCCAACTGGATCTACGTCCACAGGAGGGAATCAATCAAATAGTTCACTAAGGCAAAAGAAATGGAGAATACATAGCTTATACATAGAGATTAGCCCCATCTTCCTTCTACGACCTCCCTCTCAAGCGACACCTTGATATACCTTAATACAAGGGCTCAAGATGCTCTCCTCCTCTCTAGATCTCTAGCTATTCTCTCCTCTTTTGTGGTAGTTTAAGATCTTTTCCCTTGCACTCCTAAGCCTCACACCCTCTCTATTTATAGAAGCAAGAGAGTAGTAGGTGGGAGGTAGGTGAGCGGTAGGTGAGATGTGGTAGGTGAGCGGTACCACATTACAAAAGTGTCATTTTACCTTAGTTCAATAATTGGGGATCAAAATAATAATTCTCCACCTTGACCCTCAATTGAGAAGCTTCGAAGTAAAGATTCCCTCCACCTGTCCCCTGAGGGGCCCTCAGCCCTTGCTTGAGTTTGCTAAGTCCAAACAGTACATGGACTTAGCAATCACGGTTCTTCCGATAAG